TGAGAATTCAACACATCTGGAAATTACCAGATACAGAAAATGTTTTCTTTATCTATTATGTACAGTGACATTTTAACAACTCTTAATGGTTAAGAGTTGCGTTCTTATGAGCTCATTTGTTGAAAGGCCTGAAGTAACATGTACACCATGTACTTTCATTAACCCACAACAGCATTGAGTTTTTTTAAGAAAAGAAGATATTAAAACCCTTTCAAGTGTTTGACATCCAGTGGAATACCTCTCTCAATGCATTCCATCCAGTTTCTCCTTTAAAATAGGGACAATTCTTGCATTTATGTAGATCAGTAGCAAGAACTTTTCTGCTTAGTTTGTCTCTTGTGGGAGTCACTTGCAGCCCTAGGATGGGACGGGTTGCATAGGCAACTAGAAGCTGTTGGTTGCAGGTGTAGCCTATAAAATCTTCCCACCCGTACTGTTGCATTAGTTGCACATATCCCCTTTTCTCCGGTTATGTGGGATGATATCATGGAAAAATAATTCTCACATCATGAAATGTAAAAATTTTAATAGCTTTCTCCCTGGTGGTGCATTTCAGAACTTTTTCATCTTGTAAAGAAATCTCCTCTATATCTCCCTCACAGACACATTCATACCATATCAGCCTCTAATCAAGGACCACCCATAAAGCAAATATTTTATTTCTTTCCAAAGAGATACCCATTGTGATACTTGAAATCCTATTGCACAAGAAGAAAAACTGGACATCGAAAAGGAAAAACACTATTTTCAAATTCCTTACATGAAAGCTGCTTAGAGCATTCTTCATCTTCATAGTTTGCCTTTTAGTCATGTTTGGAATCTGCTTTCATTGGTTTCAACATAAACTCTAATAGGCAGGATGCTCTGGTGGCCATCCAGCTGAAGAATCTTGAGTCATGAGAATGTGGGAATTGTATGTGTGGGAATTGAGATTTAAGCTGGACACCAGAAACACAGCTGGTCTTTACTTCTGAAAAAGAATGTACAGTGAGATTGAGCTGAAATTCTTAAGCAATGTTATCTCTCTAATTTTGATCATCATGATCCTCTGTGTCTGTATGTATCAACCTTCTGGAAAATTAGTTTTGTTAACTAATTACTACAGTTTTGTCTGTCAAACATGATATGATAGGAATGTTGGTAGGTTTTGGAAGTAAGGGGAAGAGCATCACTAACAAAATATTTGTTCTTATTCAACACTGATCTACAATATGGATGTCTCTCTGCTTTTCATTTTAATAGAAGTCAAATGAGAATATAGAATGCCGTGTAAAAAAAAAATGTTTTTAGCCTGTGAACAAAGCTTTGATTGAAGAGTACAAGAAGATTGGGCAGTCCTTTGAAAAATAGGTTGTGGAGATAACTGTATATAGAAAGATTTTTACAAATAATTAAAGGTAGCCACTTTTAGATAACAATCATTCTATTTAGGTATAATCATGGTTAGAATACATTAGCCATTTATAACCACAATAATTAATGAACTATGTGCCACTGTATTAATGCCATTAAAATAAGTCTAGCTTGTTGTGTCAAATGTTATACAATGCTATGGTATAGGGATAATAAATACTTTTTATTTATTTAATTTTTATAGCCACTAATCTCAACTAGTGAGTGGAATATATCATAAAAATGAACAATAAAACAATGAGAACAATTCAGAATAAATATATGGCTGCTGAGTAGAATTATTGCCATACGTGTTGATATAGCCAAATAAATAGAGCCCTTAAAATACTTGGGTCCCCAGATCTGGCCACAAAACCAGGTCTTCATGGCCTTATGAAAGGCCATCAGAGTCATCCTTATTTCTGAAAAGAGAAGTTCCAGAGGGTCTACAGAAGAGAGGTTTATCTCCTAGTCCCTGCAGCTGACATCCCTCGGCTGATGGGATCTGTAATATGCCGAAGCTGCTGGACCAAATTGGACAGATAGGAGAAACTGGGAGAAGACGGTTTCTCAGATAATCTAGTCCCAACCATCAGAGGCTTTAACCAGCACCCTGAATTGCACTCAGGAACACCCTGACAACCAATGCAGCTCACACAGTAGTAGTGTTACATGTATCAAATGTATACCAATTACTACCCCATGAAGCTGCATTTTACACTAATTGAAGCTTCCAAAAATTTTCAAGACCAGCCCAATGTAGACTGTTGCAGTAATCCAGACAAAGAGGTCAGGAGGCCATGAATGACTATGAGCAAAGCCTCCCAGACTAGGAATGGGTACAACTGGTACACAACCTGGAGGTATGCACCATGGTACCTTCTCTTCTAGCAGGAGCCATGAGTCCAGGAGGACCCCCAAATTGCGCACCTTGTGCCATCCCATTCAGGATCAGAGGTAGAATAACCTTGTCATCAGAATGCCCAAATACGCAAATCATTGCATCCTATCCAGGCTCCTGGACGAGACATCCCTGGCATCGTTCAAGCCCATGGTGGAGATATAAAGCTGGGGTTTGACATATTGATGATACCTCACTCCAAACCATCGGATCACCTTACTCAGTAGCTTTATGGACAAAATGGGTCATAGGCTGGGAGCTCTCCCTCCCTCATTAATACTTGAATGTAAGAGACACCAGAGAAGAAGGAAAACTGCTGCAATACAGTCCCGCCAATCTCAACTCCTGAAGCAACTCCAAAAGGTACTATGATTCTTGGTATCAAAGGCTGCTAAGAGGTCAAGAAGAGCAAGGATGGATGAATTACTCCCATCCTACACTGAACAGAGGTCATTCAAGAGTGTGATCAATGCCCATAATGTAGCATAAAGCCTGACTGAAAGGGGTCCAGATAATCTACTTCATTCAAGGTCCTTAGAAGCTGCCATGTGGTTATTCTCTCAGCAATCTTTCCTAAATAGAACCTAATCACATGTCTCCTCCCAGTCAGCTTTAACCAGCCAAGAGGGCACAGATGTAAAACAAGTCAAGCATAAGTCCACTATTATATATTTTTACAGTTTATTTGTGTGAATGACTATGTGTAAAAAATGCATTATACATGACCCGGTCAAAGTAGGTCCTAAAGTTTTCTTCTAGAACAATAATGGTGAACCTTTGGGGCTCAGCATGTCAAAAATTTGGAAAATGCCTAACTTGACTCTACTGATATATCATATACAGCAATCATAGTTTTTTGCAATGGCTGTCCTAAAAGAATTTTGTTTGTGCAATGTATGAAAAATGCTATCTAGAATTACAAGACATATCAAAACGTGGCTCCCAAAGCAATAACAGATTTCCTATAAATTGGATATCAAGGTATCAGGACAAGTATGAACAGTGCTAAGGTGGAATAAATACTTACACTGATCAAGCCTTATTGGAATGTATAGTAATATGTGGGAACTATAGTTCTTGGGTGCTGTCACAAAATAGTGTTCTGTGTGGTGTCTCATCCCATTTCTGGAGCTCAGGGCTAATCTGGACACCTAGATTTTAAGTTGGGATTTTAAATCACTTTTAGCTCAGAAAGTAAACAGTTGCACTTGCGAAAGCTGATTTCTACATCTGAGTTTCTGGATAAAAAAGAGCAGGTTGCAACTGGTAGTGGCATCTCTAATAAACCTGAATGGTGTCAAAATGATGACAAGTTATACCTTTGCATGTATTAAGTTTGTCCTTTGTGCATCATGACACAAGTACAACGCATGACATTTGCAGTGGGTTGATTGAATGATACAGCATTAGATAAAGATAGTATCTTTATCTTGTTAAAAAACAAGCAAACACAAAAAGTTGATGTGCATATGGTATGGAAATCTATTGGGCTTAGTCCAATGTCTTCTAAATTTGGCAATTTTAAGATGTGTGGACTTGCTGGGGAATTTTGGGAGCTGAAGTTACCAAGTTTGAACACAGGACGCTGGACTAGTACAAAGAAATTCTGGATGCCCTAGGTAGAAATAAGTAAGTTTGTGCCTGTCATAAGCTCCTCAATTATGAGAAGATTCACCCCATTCTAAAGAGATTTTTTCTGCTTCACTTTTTGGGAGGGAAGGAAAATAGAAAGTCCCTGACAGGCTTTATTACAAAGAATGTGCACGAATCCAGATCATTGTTTTGCCCTTTTTAAAATTTTCTGGGCTTATTAAAAGTAAGAGCTGAAAAGGTTATTGTACTGCTTTGGTTATTTTCCCCCTTTTTTAATCTTATAAATAAAGGCAAGAAAAAAATTACGAAAAAAGGAGCTTGTGCAAATACAATGTTCCTTTTGTGGGAACTGCTAATTTCCACATAGCTTTAAATAGATAGAAGTGGTCCATGGAGTTGAGCTAATTCTATTCTCTCTTTTTAGACCAGTCGGACTAAGCTCTGCTTTACATAAAAGCCTTTTTTAAAAATATTCCTGCATCAAAACAGCACAGTTGTGGCATTTTGTAATGTTTGTTTTGCCACCCACAAAGCTCACAAATAGCCTCTGACTCAAATATTCAGGCTGGCTTTGAGCAGGTTTATAGTGTAAATTTATTGACTTATCCTTTTGGCAGCAATGTCCAATGCCTCCTGTAGAGGTCAAAAAGAGGACAGGACTATCAATTAGAACTGAGTTGGTTGTTTCCAGTGTTTGCCACCTGTTGACTTCCCAGCCTTGATAATAGCCTTCTGCATACCCTTGTTTTCTCGCTGCCATAGTCTGGGAAGGTACTTCTTCCTAGCATTTCATCAGTGATGTGGCCCATATCTTAGCAGGAATAACTCTTGCTGCTGGTTGATAGCAATGATAAAGGTGTGATGTCAGTATGCCAGTGATCCTCAGTGGGATATTCAGGATTGGATTTACAAGCTTTTTCAGCAACTGTGCCTAGGAAGACGTGATGATTATTTCATATGGAGAGACTTATGCCTCTAATTTTTATGGTTGGCTGAGTTCTACAGATTGAAAAGCTGGAAATGCTGCTGTAATGTCCTGAGTATATGCAGCGGTAGAAATATACCTGGTTAATATTGTCCTAACTTTTCTCTTGTCTCCCTGTTTACTTTCTAGAATGGCTGCAATCTGTCCAAGCTTTGATGATACTTTCTGTCATCTTCAGTGTTAAGTCTTTGTTCCTGTTCTTCTGCCAGCTCTTCACACTCACTAAAGGTGGACGATTCTACCTTACTGGTATTTTCCAGATCCTTGCTGGTAAGTAGAGGGGAGAAAAATATGTGCTATGGAGCACTTGCAAAGGGAAGAAAACCATGGCTAATAATAGAGAAAGCAGAGCGATTTCAGTCAAGCAAGAGTCTCTTGTAGCCTCCCACAATTTGGTGCTCTCCAGATAGGTTGCATTACATGGATGCAAATCCCATCCATCACCTTGAGCCAATTTCAGTAGCTTGCTAACAAAACACCCTTGTGTATTCATTTTGAAATGTGCACTTAATTGAAGAGGATTTCCTCCATATAAAAATAATAAGATGTGGATAATAGACCTGGAGATTCAACAGTTAATATTCTTCTTTAGCATTTCTATTTGAATATCTTGGTGTTGGTAGATGGGATGACAACAACAATAAGAACAAGAGACAAGTTTTTGTTATATCATATTTTTCAGTGTTTTGTATTATTAAAGAAAACAGTTGTCTTTCTCTCACTATAAGTGCCTCATCCCATCTTATAATATTAGGATTTCAGAGATTTTGTAAATCCTTGAAATTTAACGTGTACTTGGAACTATCTCACAGATTTTTATTCCTCCTGCCTCTATTTGCATCCTTGCCAAAACTTCAACATTTTGCTTAAAATCCAATAAAAAAATTCTTGAGTCTCTGTTGAAATGGACATTTAAATGAATTAATTTGAGAACTATTTAAATAGGAATCAAACCAACAGCCTTATGCCAGTATTCAGAGCAACACTCAGCTATGTAATTTATGTACAATGTATTTACTGGCCAATTAAAAATAGAAATAAATTGCCAGCCAAAGCTAGATTTTTTTTTAAAAAAAAACGAAGCCCTGAAATGTCCTTCCTGGTCTTTTAATACTATGAACCATGTATTATGCTGTCCCTCCCAAAAATGCAGTTTAATTTACTTTGAAGATATGTCATCATACAGTACTAAGACATAAATGTAGGACTAGAGATAAAAATTTGAATTGGACTGGACTGATAACCATCTGTTTAGGAGACCATGTACACTGAATGAAATCTCTTGGCATCTAGCATAGTAGAAGGAACAACATTCATCCATTGTACATACTTGCTCTATTCTAGGCTAGAGATTAAACCAGTTGTAGTAAAATGAGCTGAATATTATATGGCTGTTTTCCCTACTCTGATGCCTTCCAGCTACATTGGGCTATGTCCCCCATACTTTGGCTTTTTTTCAGGGCAGACTTCCCAGACATTATCATCATTCATTTTCAGTCTTGAAGTACTATCAAGCATGATTTGCCAGTTCAGCCAATGAATCTGCTTGTATGATCTGGCTGAGAGTATTATGTGCTGCTCAGCACACCTTCTGCCAAGAGCTAATCTCTGTGTTGACTACCCTTCATGTCTTTGTGCTCCAACCTAGTTAGAGTTGGACATTTCATGTCTGTGTCCTTAAAAAGAAAAATAATAATAATTTCTCCAGAATGAGAGCTGCCTTGGCATAGGTAAATTAGCTTCCCCTCCCAAAAAGGATGGGGTAGGAAATGTATTGTTTCTCAGAATTCATGGTGATGCTTCTTTGTAGCATTCCTCAGGTGATAGGGTGCATTGTGCATTTGTGAACATTCTATCTGTACCTTGCAATCTTCGCTGGAATTATAGAATATTCATGTTTCTTTGTAACTAGGATAAAACTGGCCCTCACCCATGTTTTTCTTATTTGCAATCTTATGGGCAGGATCAATCTGAGTGAATGAAACTCAGTTTCTGTTGGGTGGAATATCTGAAAGGCATCCCGGGAGGGGGGGAATCAGTGAGGCAGCACTGGTTTCAAGCCATGTACTATTTTATTTGGAAAAGCTCCTGCCCCAAAACAGTCTTTTGTTTTATGACTCAGTTCCTAGGAAGAGCAATGGTACAATGGTTGATTGAGGGTAGGGGTTGTTGCTGTATAATTCAACCGCTGTGCTGAAAGGAACAGAATGTTGAGAAAGAGAAGTTTGATTTTGCTCCATCTACAGTGTTTTCCCAGAAGAAACAAAATGGATTCAGTTGCATAATCTTAAGAGTACATAGGCATGTATAAGCTGTCTGCTGGAAGAATGGGGGTGGAGATCTCAGAACTGACTTTTTAAAACATTTGCTTCTGTTATTACTATGTGTAAAATTCAATGACCTTTATGCAAAAGAAGGTTTGATTACTATTAAGCATCTGGAGACAATAGCTTCTTGGACTTTGGTAAGGGATTATGTGACTGAGATAACAGTCTCAAATTATGAGCATGTTATTTTTAATTTTATTTGACTATGGGACCACCCAACTCTGAGGAGTTCATGGGAAAAAAAAACAATATACAGTAAAAAGGAGCAAGAAAGAGCATATAATAGTAACAAAATGGCAGAGCCAGACAACAACACAAACATATCAAACACCCACAAGGAACTCCAGCTATCATAGCCCAATGGCCCTCCCCATTTAGAATCCAAATACAGGCAGTTCCTGCTTAAGAATGTCTAACTTAAGGACAGACCCTAGATATGAACAGAATGCATATTATTTAAAATAGCAAATGGTATTCTCCTTCCTCAAGCCAACAACAAACTGCTGAAGTTTTGAGTTTTTAATACCATATACAGCCTGTTTTCAGCAAGGTTTAGTGATTCCTGAAAGCGTTGTGTGGCTTCAGCAATTTGTCAGGCGAAGGAAGGACAACATTGTCCACCATTTTTAATAAAAGGCAGCCAATTTGTAAGTATGAGTTATGACTTACACAAATTTAAGTGAAAGGTAGAGTTAGGAATAGAGCTGGTTCTTAACTGGAGACTGCCTGAATTAAATTGTGAGTTTGCATCATCTTATATTAGAAATAATATTAATTCTGTCCTTTTTGAAAATTCACTTTTTCCATTAGCAATTTAATAATCCAGGTAGGAAAACTTGGCAGAAATGTGATGAAAGGAATTCTTCTTCTTAACTTTGCAACCAATAAGATGGAAATTTTAGTCCAAAAACAAATATAAGAAAGTCCCTTGACTTTTATTTGAGGTTCCTCAGCTCAAATCTATGGCTCATAATTTATGCACAAAGATATGCACAGTTCCAGAATCCTTATTTGATTGCTTCCATACAAGGACATTCAGAATGTGAGAAGCCAATTTGTGATATCAGAAGGACCCCAACTGGAAGAGAAAGGGGACAGAATGCCAGAGGAAAGATGACTGACTAGAATATTGATAAAGTGGAAGGCATCTGTCAAGATGTGCTTCCAGTTTTACAGCAATAGTTAGAGAATTACGAAAGCTGAATTTCAGCACTACTATGGATTTGGAGTAGAGGCCCACAGCCTTTGCTCCTATTGCATATGCATGCCCCTAGCAGAACTGTGGGAAAATAATCCCAAGCTATTACCTTTTGGCTTCCTCTTGCAAGCAAAAAAGTACAAAAAGTATGCATGAATCTGCTCAGTGAAACAACCCCTCTCGACAAGTACCAGAACTGAGGTTGAGTATTTCTGCTTAAAGGTACAGATCTTCTCTCTGCTGCCCTTTCCACAGACAATCTATGCTCTCTTCTCTAAAGACTGTAGATGATTTACAGACTGGCCACTACTCTGCTTTATTCTATTCCACCCAAACAGAGAGACAATAGGTTTTGCTTGCAGCATGTGGGCTCTGGTTGTGGGTGTCCACTCGCTGGCCCAGAGAACAGGAGCTACATCAGCAGTTCATGAATTCAACACCTTCCTACTCTTGCATTTTCTGCAAACAAAGGGGGCAGTGTAGAGAGAAAGAAGGGCTCAAATATCACTGCACTGAGGTGTAGGTGGTCTTGAGGCATGTTGTAGGAACAGAAATGACTCTGGTGGCCCATAGAGCAGGTTGTGGAATGGATCAATGGAAAAGCCTTGTTCTGGACTGTGAATAGAAGGGGCATTGTGTAATCCTGGCAAACTCTGATGCTGGGCTTTCAGAAAAAGCAAAAAGGGGAAAAGCCCATGGAGCTGGTGTTGCTGAGCTGGCAATACAAAAAAGCTGACCTTAGTGGCATTACTACACAGGCGCCTGATTTGAGCAGCTTAAATGTTGATCTCGGGAGCTTAGATACTGGAGGCAGCAGGATGGAAAAATAGAAAAGTCAGGCTTGGCTTTACTGATTAGGACAAGGTAGGATTAACTACTGTGCTGGGAGTTGCAGAGCAGAGCTCCAGCCGGATTGAGGTCCTACTTAAAAGTAACAACCTGAATTTTAAAATAGCACCTTTCTAGCTTGCCTTGTTGAGCAGACAAAGGGCTTGTTTTCCAACCAAACAGTACTTGTATTCTCTACATTATACCAGGTCGTCTGGAACTGCTGGGGCAATTGGGTTGGCCCTAAAGAAAATTTGGATGTTTTGAAAAGAGGGCTTTTATTTTGCCAAACGCAAGAGATAAATGATGCTTTAAACATGGCTGTCAACATCCTACCATTTCTTGAAGTCAGAGGGTTGGAATTGAGGGGAGAAGGGAGTTTCCTAAACCAAAGCATCTTTCCATGTTCTTTGCTCTCAATCATGGACTTGGTTGCTCATGTTCTTTCTCCCTTTCTCTCCCTCTCTCTTCTGTCTTAGGCCTGTGCGTGATGAGTGCTGCGGCCATCTTCACTGTGAGGCACACAGACTGGCATCCCTCCACAGACAACGCCTCCTTTGGCTTTGCCTACATTCTGTCCTGGGTGGCTTTCCCGCTGGCTATCCTTAGCGGGGTGATCTATGTCATCTTGAGGAAACGCGAGTGAAATGTCAAGGGAGGTCACTGAGACTAGAGCCCTCAGGACAAGAGGTGTTGGCAAGATAGAAAATGAAAAAACCCACCCCCACAACCACCACCCCCACCACCCCCACCCACCCACCCAGTCCTTTCAAAATCCACAAATATATTAAGGGGAAAAAAAGGAAGAAAGAGAGCTGAAAGAAGGATTACTGTATTCATTGGAGATGTATATAGTATCTATGGTTTAAAAAGCCTATTTATAACACTTTTTACATATATGTACAGAGTACTGTTTGCTTTTGTTGTTGACCTGCCACCATGTTTAAAGCCTAAAAAAAGTGCCTAAGAACTCTTTAACTCCTAACAATGTAATGAGAGTGCCGCTTTTCCCTTCCTGCATTTATGCTGTGGAAGCCAGTGGATCCCTCCTCCAAAGCTTTCCACTGTCAACCTCAAGCCAAGCCCAGTTTGAGAACCCTCCATCTCGCCCTCCAACTAGGTATAGTCTGGTATCCTGGCACCTACCTTAGCCCATGTCTGCATTATGGCCCTTTTAACCAAATGATGGAGACCAAATGCTACACAGAAAGGGGAGGAACTTCTACCCGGAAGCAGATGGTGTGTTAAGGTAAGGGTGGGTGAGCCCAGCTTCTCAACTGTTTGGGATGAAAACCAAGTTGTGAAGGGTTGAATGAGGTACATTGCCTCAGTGATGTGACCCAAAGCTCTTTGCCACTGTTACCACCTCCTGTAACCCCCCAGATATGATCACCTGAGTTCCTTGTAGGACGGAGGCGATACAAAGATCCTGAATTAGGCATCAGTCTCGGGATGGAAGGAAATGTTTACATATCTTAGAACAGCCAAGGCTAGCACAGAGGCTGAATTAGTTGAAAGGAACACTGTTGGCGGGATGACAATCTAAAATAAAAACTGAATTGATTTTTAACTAGCCTAGTGGTTCTCTTCCATCTATGCCAGCTGATCTTCAGAAAAGACTTTCCTCCTTTTCCTGGAGAATAAAGTGGAAAAGTTGAATGACGCTTTCTAAGCTCTATGGTCCACCCTCATCCCTTTCCCTAAATCCTCTTGAGATCAAATACCAAATATGTGAAATGGTGCTATCTATTTACCATTCCTTATATCGCTAAGCCATTTAACCGTTGCTCACTGGAAATTGGGGTAACCATTTTTTGAGAAAAGCCAAGGAATGATAAATAATTCTGTGTAATATATACAACCTATAACTGCTTTTGTATGTAGGAAAGTTGCTATCCATTATTATTATTATTACTATTTTTTTAATAAAGCACTTATAACCAAGGATTTTTTTTCCTTTTTCCCTTTGTGGTCGGAAGGGAAGTAAGCAACCCCGTAGAGCTTACAGAATCTGCTCCCCTCCCCCAACCAAAGCTGTTCTGTAACTTTTTTCTGTGCTTCCAGAGATGTCTGGGAATGAACTGTACAGGTGACCGCCCAGAGGAGTATGGGCAGTGCTGTCTAATCCTAAGTCTCCAGGCATTATTACGCAATTATTTCTCTTTGCTTTTCTGATTTATACCAGTTGTGTGGACTAAGAAGCAATGAAATAAAAGCCAGAATAACTCAAGTGCTTTGGCTTATATTGCATTTCAATCAATTGTTCTGAATGAGCCTTTTATGTTGGGCAACTGACAAGCTAGTGACCTACTTCGCAAAATGTGCTAAGCTACAATGTGGTGTGCTTAGTTTTAGGTTAATAGATGTTGGAAATGAATGTGCTTTGTGTTTCATTTAGTAAACCAAGATTAAGCCAATCCTAATGGATGTGACTTGTGGATTGCTATAGAAGATTTATTTGGCGCAATTGCTGGTTTTATTCATTGACTGTATAAACAGATTTGTATACTCCATTAAGCCACAGTTTTATTTCATATTTTACAGAATAAATCACAATTGTCCAGATTCCCATCAAAGATCTAAAATCAAACCAACCCGTTCAGCTGGGCATCCTTATTAGTGACTTACATTTTCTAGACCCATTCAATCACCATTGTGCTTAATATTGAGGACAGACTTCATTATTATTATTATTATTATTAGCTGAAGTTAGAAGATGTTATACCTCATGCATTACCTCATGTACAATGAAAGAACCCACTTTGGATTTTAGCAGAATTCTGTCCATTAACAAACTCAATGCTTTCTTCCATACTGTGATAAGATGCCCTCAATATTTGATGGACTACCAAACCCTTTAATCTCAATTTAGGATAACAGTTAACCAGAGAATAGTGAGGCTTGGTTAGCATTCATGGAATCCCTGTCTGTGTATATATCTGCACTTCAAGCCTGTAAAACTACTGTGTCGATAATTTTAAGGGATTATTTTTAATTTACAAATTCAAAGAGATTTTAGATGTTTTGAAGCATCTGATGCAAGACTACCACAGACTTGCAAGCGCTACCAATTTATGCAACCGTTGCATGGGAAGTTAGTGCTTGTACTGTAGATGGAGAGCAAGCCTACATGGGCAAGCCCCTGTCTTAACCTTAAGCATTTCTCTGACTGGATTAACCAAATTTCTTGCTTCTTAAAAGGCACTGGTAGCGTTTGTAGTATTCTAGGAATATACTGACTCATGTGAAGACCATACTGACAGTCTTCTCCATTGGTGCAGATTAGGAGGTGCAGTTTTGTGAAAGGTGCTGCACTTCCTTAGACAACCACAAGGACACCTAGGGATCAGCTCTATCCTTTCTCCCTTTTCCACGAGAGAGGAGGTGGGACGAAAGAACTGAGAGAAAGGGAACTATTGTATTTTCACAAATCATTTCAGAAAAGGCTGATAAACATATTAAAATCAGTCACCCTCCCTGGGCAAGTTTTAAAAGATTCAGAAGTATGGCTCAACAGAAAGTGTAGAGCAGTGGTTCTCAACCTTTTTAATGCCGCGACCCCAAGTCGAGGACTAAACCGGTCGTAAGTCGAGGACTAAACCAGTCGTAAGTCGAGGACTACCCAACCGGTCGTAGTCGAGGACTTTCCCTGCCCGGGAGCGCCGCACATGCGTGGTTCTGCCCCCTGCACCGGCCGAGGCGTAGCTGGCCAGCAGCAGAGACGGAGCAGGCTGACCACCAGCTGGAAAAAGGGAAAAAAATGGCGGACAAAAAAAATGGTGGACAAAAAAAATGGCGGACAGCCTTGCTTGGCGACCCCCATGAAATGGTCGATCGACCCCAAATGGGGTCCCGACCCACAGGTTGAGAACCACTGGTGTAGAGTAAGAGGATAATGAAAGTAGGCAGGTTGTCTAAATTGTTCAGTACCTCCCACGTTTTCCTAAACTCACCTACATGCTGTAAATGAAAGCCTTCCTGTACCTCTGAATGCTACATACTCGGAAGCATAAATCTTTCTGGGAACATTATCATACCAGTTATTTGGGTGACAACACTCAAATAATTGTGCAGTCCTTAGGGTACTTGAAATGTATTCATGTCTGAGATGCATAACACTCAATATACTAGAATTTGCTGCTTGATTTTTATTCATGAAAGTTTTAGTAATTATTGTTCAGAATCTGAAGTCTGACCTGAAAGATACAGAGTTCTCGTCTGGCATAAGAGAGTGTTTCTGGAATATCACTGAGAAAATTGTATCAGTGCAAATTTATCAGAAATCAAGCCATCTTTACTATAACACCCACACCATCTTGATTCAGAAATGAATTTCACCAGGACAAGCTTTCTATTCACCTCACATTTTGTTGAACTTCAAAAATTCTTTGGAGTAGTTTTCACATACAGTACACATTATTGTCTTTGATCATAGCACACTAGTAATGGTCATTTGATTTCTTAATAATAGCAAGCAAAAATGTAATGAAAGTCTGCCCTCTTGGGGAAAAATGTGGCACTACCACTCTTGTTCTTGAAAAAATGTGCATTTCGAAAGGCTCCCAAATTCCCCTAAATACAAACATGCAGGCACATTCTCTTCTTTATAATGTACAATTTGATTTTTTTTTAAAAAAAAAGTGATGGAATTACATTTGCCAGATTTCTCTTTGTGAATAGATCTGTTTAGCAGGAACAGTGAAAACACAAGTAAATGTTTCAGTAGGCTTTTTGTTGTTTTGGATATAGTTTAGAGAATACAGCCTTTACACATACAAATCCTTTTGCAGGAAATCTTGTTATGGGCAACCCAAATAATATACTTTCTTAACTTTTTGAAACTTGTATCAGAGTTGACAATTGCTAAATGACTAGAAATCAGAAACTGCTGCTTTGAATGGGCATAGCTTTTATTTCTCTAGGCTAGGAGTCCCAAACCCCCAGTCCGTGGATGGCACCAGTCCATGGCATGCCAGGAACCAGGCCATGCAAACAAGCCCCATCAGCGGGATGCAGGAAGCATGCAAAACCACTTCCCCTCTGGTCCACAGAAAAACCTCTATCCATGGAACTGGTCCCTGGTGCCCAAAAGGTTGGGGGCTGCTGCTCTAGGCAAGAAAGGATCACAAAGAAGCCTTCAGTGCATCCCTACATAGGGTCCTTCCAATGAGAGGTCATCTTTGATGCCTACATAGCAACAAAAAATGATTAGAAACTTTCAAGTGTCAGTGATAGATTGCTATGCAACTCCCTATCACAAAGTTGACTAATGGATAATTTTAAGAAGAAACTGTGTCTGTGTGTGTGTGTGTGTGTGTGTGTGAATTCGTAGTCAAATTAACTATGGCAGCTAGCAATGTGTCTCTAAATACCACTTGTTGGAAATTGGCTGTTGACTTCTATCCTGCTTGTGAGCTTCCTAGAGGCCTCTGATTGGCCAGTGTGGGACACATTGCATTAGCAGGATTTTTGATGTGATAGAGTTAAAGTTTAATTTCTCTCTTCTGGAGGTAAGATGCCAATAACAATTCAAGAGAATGAAGATGCTGTTTTTAGTTTATTGAGGTGTTCCCATTTAAAATGCCGATAACAGCTACAAAGATAACACACATGTTTATTAGCATTCGAACCAGACAATCTATGTATGGTCAGTCTTTGTGACCACATTTCTATACAAATGTGTTTAATTGTTCCTGTATGGAAGTAGA